ATAGTATTGTAAAAAGAAGGACTCTTAAAATGAAAAAAAAAAAAAAAAAAAAAACGTCTGAAAAATAAAAATGTTTGTTTTATGTTTTCTTTCTGTACAGCTAAAGGAATGAGTTTTTGACATGACAGGAATGAAAATTATCATCCGAGATTAATGTTCCATTTGATGTAGGTGAAACCAATAACTTGTGTGCAAAATGTCTTTCTAATTAATTATTTCTAATTGTGAAAAATGAGCCATAGGAAAGCGTTGTAACGCTTTCCACTCAATTGGGCCTAGAATAGCGCAAAAATACGATTCACAATTTGTTTTTGAGTATATTCTTAAACATATTTTCATATTATTCAGATTTCAGTGGCCCTAATAATCAATGTTCGAAATCTAAATTATTTTGCGTTTAGGTGTTGGGACCTCAGTGGTGTTTCTTTAAAATTGTTGTATAGCAAATTTTAAAACAAACTCTTACATATTTCGAGCTTTTTACAAAGGATTTGAATAGAATCTTTTTTTCTGGAGATAGTGTGGAGTACATTCACATATGAAAAAATGATTTACAAATTTATGTACACTCTATTTTGTAAAACTCTTGACAGGAATCAAATATAATGGTAAAATACCCCATTAAGCATTAGTTTTAATATTTTAATAATATTAAAAAACTTTTTTATATTTTTGGTGTCCCGTTCAATTTCTTTTGCATTTTGACATTTTGTCAGGTGAAAGTCAAAATACTACATTGTTTTAATTTTTGCTACATTTTATCACAAATTATTTCTTACTCAGTGCTATACTTTCAGGTGATAAGCATCTTACATCTATCAACATTATAAAACAAGTATGTGTCATTTCTACAGAAAGAGAAAAACAATATTTACTTTTGAGTGTTTATCACCGAAAGTTTTTCTTTATTTTGTAAATACTAATTTCCCCACCAACGTACACATGTTCCCTATTAATCCCGCAGAATTGGAGATAAACAGGGAACTGAAGTAAATATTTTTAAAATGAGAATTTTTTAATGTTATTCTTCTTGGTCCAATTAGGAGGATTAAAAAAAACGCAGTTAATTCTCTTTTTAAATATTTATTTATTTATTACTTTTGATATAATGTAACTATAAAAAAGGAATTATTTTGTAAGCCTGCTTCTGGTTTAAAAAATTCAAGAAAAAAAAATGTCATAAAATTAATAAAGTATAGCATTTAAAAACCAAAAAATTTTTATATAATTTGAGCGTTTAAAAAGAAAAAATTTATATAATCAACAAATTTTTGTTTAAAAGAGGTACTGAAATAGTTAATAAAACCCAACTCATGTTTATAAAATATTAAGTTGTTTTTCAAGGTTTAATTTTATAAAAACCAGTCTACTGCCCCTAGGTCAAGTCACATGACCTAAAAAGCAAAATCACGGCGAAAATTATCATCATTTTTACTTTGTAAGACAGAATTTACAAAAAAAGCAGGGAAAAAGAAAAACAAGCTTTTTATTTATTATTAAAGGTAAAAAGACATTTTTTAGGAAATTTACATACTTAAACACTATGTTATTTAAATTAGCATTTCCCAAAATGTTGCTTCATAAACAACCCCTTTAAAACATTAAAAATACACAAAAAATGAGAAAAAACATTTTTTTTTAATGTACTCCATACACTTAATAATAAAAATAATAAAAAGAGAAAAGAAGAAGAAAACAAAAACAAACAATAATATAAAAATGATATTAAAAAAATTTTTAAAAGATTTTTAAAAAATAAAAAAAACTCTATTATATACAGACACACGAAAAAAGGCTAGTCTGCGATTTTCAACTACTAAGAATATGTTTCCTTACCACCTTACCAGCATATTTATGGTGTTGATCGATGTGTGTCAGCTATTTTTAGTTGCCCCATACTTCTTCTCAATAATGTTATGTTGTTTTTGTTGTTGTTTTTTTTATCATTGGTTCCATTAAGGAATGACTACCGCTTTAGCCGGTGCTATCGGTGATCGTGAAATATATTGCACTTTCCATTTGTCTGTCTTGAACAGTCTCAATAAAAAGTTTGTGGTTTTCAAAAAATTGTGGTTGCTAGTGTGCAGAAAATTTTGACATCTGTTTTTGGACCAAAAGAGAAGAAAAGTACAAGAAACATTGGATCTTTTACGGATACAAGTTCCATGAAGTAATTTTGGTGTCAATAATTTAAGATGACCATTTCCATCGGACTTCTTTAATCATCTGATAGGGTTTGTGTTAGTGTTTAAAAATGTGTCTCATGCTAATAAGTTACACAAAACTTAGGTACTAACTTCCACACTCTTTATATTGAGCAGGTCTTTACATCTAATTTTTAAGCTTGACTTTTTCGAAGAAAACCAGCTATTGCTACAGTCATGGTGTCGTTGACATTGCTATTGACCTTTAAGGTAAAATTATTGTAATTTTCTTAAATTGTCACAACTTTGATATTTAGTTATATATTTGATTCATACTTGCACTAAACGAACGCATGACAAAAGAGACTTGCTGAATTGTTATTCTGATATGACCTTGACCTGTAATGGTTAAGGTTAAATTGTTAAATTGTCCAAACTTTGTTATTTACTTACACCTTTGATATTTACTTGCACAAAAGAACACTTATCACAAAACGGACTAGTGGAATGATTCTGATATGATCTTGACATTTAATTGACCTTGAACGTCAAATTATAGAAATTTGCTTAAATCTTGATAAATTTGTTACTTACTTATGGATTCGATTCATTCTTTGACAAAAGAGCACTTATGACAAAAACTAACATGTTGAATAATTCTGATATGACTTTGACCTTTTATTGTTCTTGACTCTCATTCACTGTCAAATTACTGAAATTTGCCTAAATTGTCATCACTTCGTAATATTTATGGATTTGATTCGTTCTTTGAGGTGACAAAAGCATTTATTACTTAACTGAGAAGCTCGAATAGTGAATGGCATTGACTGTCAAATTCAAATAGTGGACTTTGAATTCTTTTTGTTAAATGAAAATTATTTTTTGAAGGAGTGCTCTTTACTATAATATTCTTCCTCTGTTCTGTGTTTGACTTTAGAAATAAGAAAATGTCGAGCGTAAATCCTGATACTGATGGTAGCTTGATTATGAAATCCCTTAAAATTCTAATGGACTGTTAGTGTGTCCTTTAGAGTGCATTTTTGCCTTTATTGATGTTTTAAAACAAATATGTATTATAAATGAATGTCATAGAAACTCCACCTTATAGTTAAGCTTATGCATGATTGTAATAAGAGGTCCAAAGGGCCATAACTCTTATTTAGTTTTTTTTTACAACCATGTTTTTTTAAAAAAAGTAAAATGTGATTCACTTAATCTTTGACCATGTGATTAATAAGAGTGAGTGATGATTTACAGAGAAATGAAAAAGATTAACCTTTAACCTGCTGGAACCAGTTTTAGCCAGTCGGTGCCGTCTGCTCTATAGTGATGGTAGCTTGATTATGAAATCCCTTAAAATTCTAATGGACTGTTCCAAATTCAAAGCAGAGCAAGTCCCATTTCGTAAATCCAGCAGGTTTAAGGTGAAATGAGTCTAGTTTTTTGAGGTGTCAGTCATGTATGTGCTGAGCTTTGTAGTAATTTTTTTTTTCGGTTTTTAAGTCTATTTATTAAGTAAATGGCAATTTGTGTAAGATTCTATTTATTTATATCAAATTCTGTTACCGGTACAAACTAACCCAGAAATGGTTAAAATAATGCAAAAGTTTATTGTGACAGGCATTTTTAAAGTCATATATATATATATATATATATATATATATATATATATATATATATATATATATATATATATATATATATATATATATATATATATATATATTTGATTACAGCTTTTACATTAACAACAGTTATAGTTGTTACATCATGCTTCTTATTAAAAAATAAATTATATTTACATAAATTATTTGAGTATGAACTTGTGTTGAAAACACTGATGTCATGGGACTATTATTTATAATTCAATTATCTTTAGAATTAAATTATTGTTCTGATTTTGCAAAGTTTATAGATCTATGAATTATGGCCTATATGTATATTATTGTAATAGAAAGAGCACCGAAACACGAGGCTATCTGATTTGTACGAGGGGGCGTAGCCCCCGAGTATAAATCAGATTGCCGAGTGTTTGGGTGTTCTTTCTCTTTTGTATCATAGTCAAACATGACAGCACGTTCCCTGTTGTCATAATATGAAACCCCAGAAAAAAATTAACCCAATGAACGAGCATTTGAATATGATAGTTCTGCCCCCTTCCCTTTCTCTGCCGTCACAATATGTAAACCCCGGCAAAAATGAACCAATCCAGTGGCATTATCTGGAGTGCGGGTAACTGATACCCGCACTCCAGTTACCGCACTGTGCATGTATATGTATACGATTTAACTCTGACACTTTTTCAACAGAAAGGTACCCAAACTATGATACAACAATTTTTACTGGATGATTATAGTTTCTATTTTATAGAATAATATAATACTGTAGTATTCTGCTCGCATTTATTAAAATATGTCTTAAAGTAAGAGATATGTTTATTATCCTACAGCTGAATTAAAGATTTTAAATTATTATCAGTTTGGCTTTTCTTGAATTTATTCATCAAACATGCATGTAGATACATGTATGAAGTTTTAACTAAATGTTGATTGTTTATACCCAGTAAAGACTCCAGGCCTGATACCCAGTAAAGACTCAATGCTTGAAAGATTTTTTTCTCAGAGTTTTTGCCCTTTACTGATTTTCACTGGACTACTTCTCTTATGCCAGTTATACAATTTGATTGTAACTTTACAGAATTGAACGATAACCCAATATTTTAGGATTCTTGGTCAAAGATGATATTTAAATTGGATACTTCAGAGCACAGTTTCGAATGAATGTGTCATTACTTTTAATGGGGATAAAGAGAAGGCAAAGTGGCTTGTAACAGTTGTTCCCAAATAAATAAAAAAACATTTTCATCATAATGTGAATGCTAATGTATAGAAAATTCTTCACTCCTTGTTTTTGGATTAAAAAAGAAGAAAGTCTATAAACATTGACCTTTTTTATGTGCAAGTTAATGAAGTTACCTGTGTCCGTAACTTACGATGACCATTTCATCAACTCTTAAATGATCTGATAGGGTTTGTAAGTGTTAAAGAAATTAGTCTTGTGTAGATTGTATGCTATTTAATTTCAGAAAACTAAGTGATTAATTTCCACATTCTTATTAGCGCCCTTTGCAGCTTATTTTTTGTGGTTTGTTTTTATGACAGCCATAAGCCTTTGCCCATCGTTTACTTTTGCTTTAATGAAGACTACCTTCAACAACTAGTCCAATTGTGACAAAACAGAAATTACCAATATATATATATAATTATATAGCAAAGAAAAATAGTAAAGAACGTTCGGTCCGTTAATTAAGATAGTTTCAAGTGATAAAAACAGAATATTCTATGACATTAGATTTTGTCGAAACTCAGTAGAAGTAATCATATGTGAAACTGTACAAAAATAGAGGCATCATTCCGAGCCGTTGAAGAGCTTAAAAGAAACAAGTTTAAATGATGTTTTCAGAACAGCACGTTTTCGCAAAACTTTATAGGAAGTATTATTTGTTGTCCTTTCCAAGAAAAGCCAATGTCTGTTAGTTGAACTGTTAGTAGTTCAAACTGCAACCATACCTATTTGGCGGATGTTCGTGAATCGATCCACAAAAATGTTACTATGTATGACATTGTTCTGGGTAGCAGAATAAACAGCAGAAATAAATATTAGATAACGTCTTCTCGATTCCCGGAACGCAAACGAATGGTCGTTAGCACAGCGCTTGCATACACGTGCTTAATTAATAACCTTTAAACGCGATAGATATCCTAGATGTGCGATCCATCCAGGTTTGTCAAAGCTCTCTTGTTTATTTTTAGAAGTACTTACTAGTATTAATTTCATTGTTGTTCAGCGCTCTTGTGTAAACAAGCTTTCATCTGAATGCTTGCAGATTGAAGTCAGTAGCAATTTTGAACACAAATATACATCATTTTGCAAACATTTAATGTTAGGGGTCAAAGTTTTCCCCCTTTTTATAGAGCTTTTTCCTTGAATTGACAAATTGAGATAATTACCAAGGAACTATAAAGGTAACAAGTGTTGTTTTGTTTTTTATTTTCCGACTATATTTACGGATGACCCAACATCCTGATACAGTAAAAACCCGGAAAATGACGTATACAAAACCCCTAGGATACCATACTCTACTCTGTTGTTTCTTACAGAGACATCATCACCGACCTGGAGTTTAACTATTATCATTTGTGTGGTTTGTTTATAGGGATACGTGATGAAGTTAGCAAGAGTTTGTCCGTTTACATCAAAATAAGCGTAATAAGTCTGGTCATGGTCGTTTCTGACAATTCCCCCAGCAACCGTGGCGCAGAATACATACGTTCCTGCGACAGGTGCCGTAAAAATGCCATGAATGTTATGATAGGCGTTGCCTGTGTTGGTAAAAGCGTGATCAAACACAATATTTTGGTTAATGCCTAAATGCTCAACGTCATGTGGCGTGATCGCGGCGAAGAACGCTACATCTGATTCAACAGAACGCGCACGTCTTGAACCTGAAATGAGAATTATAATATTTATTTCTGGTAGTCCCAAATAGGTAATGGACAAATTCTTTTCTGATATATGGATGTGTTCATTTCTTATTTATCGAAATGCTAAATACTGCATGATCACTTTAATAGACAAATTAAGGTGATTTAGACGAACCCGTTTCATTGTGAGTGTTCTGACAGTTTATGCCATTCTATTAACGAGCAAAATAACTATAAATCTGCCAAGTAAAATACGATGGTGTCAAACTCCTACCCCGAACATCAAGGGATTTATTAGATCTTCTATAAGTACAGTTTTCTGACATTGAGTTCCAAAAATAGCAATAGATGAATGTTTGTAAAGTTGTCTTATGTTGAAAACAGTACATGTCCGTTTACAATCAATATAAAAATAGTTGTACACTTGTATATACATGTATTTCATATTACCTGATCTGATTGTACGTGTTTGTTTCTGCACTGAATCTCTACCGTTTGTCTCATCTGTTACATTGTCACTATCATCAAGCGCGTTGACAAAGCGTTCGTTAGTCACGTGATTGTCATTATCACTGTTTCTGGGGTTATTGAGTTTTTCTAGTTCCGTAATGCGATCGTTCAGAGCCTTTTCTTTTTCACGGAAGTCTGCAGCCATTATTTCCATTCTCCTTTCCATTTCGTCATTCCGGCGTTCCACATAATCAAGTCGTTTTAAAAGTAACTCGAACTTTTCGTTATTGAAATCATTTGTATCTTGAACAGTTTTAGTGGAGGCATCAATGCGAACTCCGAAACAGAAAATCGAAATTATAATGCCGAAACAAAGACTTGTTCCTGACTTCATTTTTAATGTTGACTCTTATCAGATCCTTTGTCAGATACATCCTATATCAGATACATTGTTCGTAGTTTTGTGATAAGGCAGGTAAAAAGTGACACAATCGTGTGTTAATTTGACCCTTGTTTGAACAGATAACGGCCGGTGAACTAGAATTTCAATCTTTTCCCCTAAAAAAATTGGAGTTTTTAGTAGTGCATTTGTGTAATTTTCAGACGTTTTCAAAGTTTTTTTTGTTAAAAATTTGCTGCATTATAATATTATGTGGGATAGAAAGAAAAGGAAAGCAAGTTGAAAAACCAAATATTTAAGTGTCAATAAGTTGAGATCAGATACTATAAAATAAATCTTATCATCACTGGATATGACAGTATATACGTCATATTTTATTTTGAAAGTTAGATAAACTTTACATGCAGCGTAATGTTAGTTAAGTGTGGTTTACCACAAACTTATATTACGCCACATGGAACATGTTAATCCGCCTTAAATTTAGACATGTTGCAATTCATAGACTAATTTCCACCTGTATAAGCATCTATCAATGCATCTTCAGAAAGGACCGACGTTGTAAAAATGAATATACAACATCTAAGATGTTTATGTCCTGAATAATGTGAAGTAATCTAAAACTGTAATCTGAAAGATGTATATTGACTTAAATTGTAAATACTTAATCACTATAAATGTACTAAAATGTAAAAAATAATTCGTCTGTATTGTAATCCAGATGTCAAAATACGTTTCTATGATAACTGTGGGTTTACGTTTTCTTGTAAAATTAAGGGACACAATTGAGGTTTTCTGACATAATTTTTCGAGATTAATGTTTCATTTGATAAAGGTCAAAGCAAAACATTGTCTGCAAAATTTAGGATCATTCCGTTTTTTTCTTCACAATATTTATTTTAATTGTGAAAAATGAGCAAGACTCGAGCATTGTAACGCTGGCCAAGAATAGCGCAAAAAAGGGAAGATTTTCAATTAATTTTTAGTACATTTCTTGATTATTTTTTTATAAGTGGCCCTATTAAACAATGAAGAAAGTAGCACTGAATGTGATATTATTTGTCATAAAAGTAGCAACATGTAAACAAAGAAGTATTTTTACTTCATTAAATACCTAAACACTGTACCGAATACAACAGAAGCAAAAAATGATTTTGGTTATGGGCCAAAGAGTCAATTTCTGGAAACTTTTAACGGAACACCAGATATAAAGAGCTTTAGAGAAATGAAAATAAAGGCATTTCTGGGGTATAATATGCATTTAAGCATAAAAATGTTTATAATTTAATTAAAATAGTAAATAAAAAACTTTTTTTCGGTGTCCTGTTACAATTTCCAAAAAAAAACAACATAGAAGAGTTACCTCGTTTAAAATTTGCTAGCTTTTATCACAAATTATTTCTTACTCAGTGCAATGCTTTCAGGTTATAAGCAGCTTACATCTAGCAACTTTTAACTTTATAAAACAAGATGTGACCTTCCCCACGGAAAGAGAAAACAATTTTTTTATTTTCGAGTGTTGATAAAGCCTTGAAAGTGTTTTCTTTTTTTGTTAAATATTTGAAAAATAATTTGCCCTTGGGTGACAAAATTTCTTTTCTTTTTTAACCCCGGAGGTTGGGAGATAAACATGTGAAAAATTTTTAGTAAAGATAAAAATGAAAAAACATGTGAAAAGATTAAAAAATGTGAACATTTTGAAAATTTTTCCAAATTAAATGAAAATTTTTAAAGTTTTTTTCTCTTTGTGTCCAAAAATTGGATAAATTTAGAAAAAGCAGTTAATTCTCTATTTTTTAAAGTATTTATTTGGGATATTGGGAAATTTTGATTAAAAAACTATAAAACGGGAAAATTTAAAAATTGAATTTGTTGTTGAAAGGCCTGTTGTTCTGGATTAAAACTCCTAAGAAAAAAGATTTCATAAAATTTAGTAGGTCAAGCAAGTATAAGTAAGTAAAATTATTTAAAAAAAGGAATATTATATATAGAATTCGATGTTGTATAAATGAATAATTTATATGATCAACAATTACTGTTATAATACTTAGTAAGTAGGGGACTGAAATAGTGAATAGGCAAAATTTTTGCAAGCATTTATCATGTTCATAAGATATCGAAGTTGTTTACAAGTATGAATCTTTGTAAACAACCAGTCTATGTGCCATATGTAAAGTCACATGACCTAAAAAAAGCAACATCACGTAAATAACATCATACATTTTACCTGTCTAGTAAGACATGGAATTCACAAACATCAAACAAATGACGAGAAAAACATTGCTTGTTATTTGATGTAATGAACTGTAAAACAGACATTTATTATGGAATTTACATACTATAAACACTATGTTATGATTTTAAATTAGCATTTCCAAACATGTTGCTTTTCAATAAAAGACGACCCATATACATGTAAATGTATTAACATACACAACAAAAGACGAAAAATACATATATTTTAATTATTGTACTCACTACTACTGCTACTGCTACAAAATGAGAAAATACATAAAGTTTATTTATAGTACCCCACTACTACTGCTGCTACTGCTGCTGCTACTGCTGCTGCTGCTGCTGCTGCTACTGCTACTACTGCTGCTGCTGCTGCTGCTACTACTGCTACTGCTGCTGCTGCTGCTGCTACTGCTGCTGCTGCTGCTGCTGCTGCTGCTACTGCTACTGCTACTACTACTGCTGCTGCTGCTGCTGCTGCTGCTGCTACTGCTGCTGCTGCTGCTGCTACTGCTACGTGCTCCTGCTGCTACTGCTACTGCTACTGCTGCTGCTGCTGCTACTGCTACTGCTACTGCTACTACTACTACTACTACTACTACTACTACTAATAATAATACTGGTACTGCTGCTGCTGCTGATGATGATGATAATAATAATAATGATAATAATGATGATGATAATAATAATAATAATAAGAATAATAATGATAAGAATTATAATGATAAGAATAATAATGATAAGAATAATAATGATAAGAATAATAATGATAAGAATAATTCTTCTTTTGGCAGATTACTAATGGTGACATTTTGATTTCGAATGCATACACACCCTCGTAGATCATTTTTGTATTACTATAACGGTGTACATGTAAATGTATTGCTATACATTAGATAGTGGTGGAAACATTAAAATAAAATTATTTAAACAAATTGAAATGAATAGATATTTAATCAATGAACTTTGAAGTTTTAAGTGGTATCCGAGTATATATATTTTCATTATAAGTACAATACTGTATTTATGCCGGCTCGCCACGGCGAGCCGGTATTACGTTAGGATTTTACTGAGAAACAACCTTAAACTCCGAATCCATCCAAAAATTTAATCGAAGCTTAGCTTCCAGCTTTCTACAAAATTTATCTATCAGGGCTGGGATCCAAAATTATTTAGCCAATCAAATTTGATCTTTTATAGCGTCAAAAAGCCTTCAATTTTCACGCCATTTTTAAAAAGCAGCAAGTATTGTTTTGAGCGCAAAGATATAATGATGATTAAAATGTTTTGTTTTCATGGATTCTTTTCAGTAAATCATATTTTACACTGACTTTTGATTTAGCGATTTAACCAGTCCTGTTTACTTTGTAGTAAGTTTTTGTTTGGTTAATTAACATAAACGACATCTGGTTCTGTGCATTTTTTTCTTTTTCCTTTTTTCCGGTCATTTCATCCTTTCCGGTATTTAGTGTATGTATTTACTGACCGGGATCCGGGACGCCCGGGATCCGGGATCGTATAAGATAATAGAGAAAAAAAAATAATAAACTATATTTATGTTGATTATTGTCGTAATGAAAGGCCATTAAACGTTAAGTTTTTTTTATTGTATGTAATGAAAGTAAAATTGATTTGACTTAGGATATAGATATATTTAGAGCTATTTATTAACATAATCACAATACTTATAATTATATGCCTAATTAATTGGAAAAATCAAAGACTATATTCTTGAATTGGTCAAATCCCGGGATCCCTATATGTTTTAATACGATCCCAGCTTTTTTTGAAAACAATATTCTTGGACTGTCCAATTCCTGGGATCTCTTTATTTTTTAATATGATCCCGGCTTTTCTGAAAACTATATTCTTGGACTGGTCAATTTCCGGGATCCTATTTTTTTTTAATAGGATCCCGGCTTTTCTGGCTGAATTGATTGACAACTTGTGTTTACTTTAGGACTTGTATCTGTCACTTATTCCAATACTAAATAACATATTACAACTTAACTTGGTATAAAGAGACATTTTTATGAATTCTACTTATCTATTTTTTTCTGGTCAAGGTCAACAGGCCATATAGTAAATGTGCATAGACATAGGGACTTCATTCTATCTGTTTACATGCATCTTCATATATACTCATATTCCTCTTTGTTAAACTGAGAGAACTGGCTTCCTTAACTTTATATGTCACTTTTATTTTGATGTTCGCTGAAGTCTTTTCAGCCTAACAGAATTGTCATTTTTACATTTAAACACATCCCTGGAAAGAAATTACGAAGCGAGTCGCTACTAGCTTTTTTAAAAAGCTAACCTTGTTACATTTAAGGAAGATGTGGATTACGACTAACCTACATGCTGTTATGAAATTTGTAATACGTCGCAAATCAAACATTTTGCAACAATAAAATCGATTCCGCCATTCTCTTCCGAGTATTATTACGCAGTTAGAAGTGCAAATCGCTGCATGAATTCCAATTTCCTTAAGTACGTCCATGTTTAGAACGTGAAAGCGGGATTGTATTCCAATATAGAAAAACACATCAGTCCGTTTATTTGAAATTTGTATAATTAATTTATAGACAGCATGATTTAGTACTCTCTGTCAGTTATCATTAACCGAGTAAGATGTTTTGTTATATATTCCCTCCATA